AGCAGAGCGCACACTGTCTTGTTAGGGTGATATCGCATTCCAATTGATACTGAATCAAGTACACTGCCGAAGCCTGTGTACGGCTTTTTACACCCATAACACAGCTTCTGCCTCGGGATTCAGGGGTACGTCTCCATTCCTCCCATCCAAACACCACACTTTACCCCCAAAGGATTCTGGGAGACCGTATGCAAATTGATAACGCGTCACAGGGCGTTGTCTGGCTCCCGCTCCCGAGGGGCGGGGCGCCGGGGGCTGGACCAGCCGCGGGGGTGGTGGGACTTGAGCGCTGGCGCAGACACGTGGGCTCTAGGGCTGCGCGGTGGAAGGGCGGGGGCGCCCCTGTGCGGCAGCACGCGCACAGCCGGCTTGGCCGCGGCCCCGGGCTGCGTACTGTGCACAGCGCGGCTGTTCCGCGGAGGGCGTGGGGGGGAAGAGGCAGGGACTGAAGCTGCCGGGCTGAGATCTTCCTTGGGACCAGCTCTGTGGCTGCAAGAAAGTGCTGCAGCAATGAAGTTTGGTGCCTGCGGCAAAGCCCACAGGTGCAGCCCATCCTCGCCCGGCTCACAGATGGGGGGCACATGCCGCCCCATGCTTGCCTGGGAGCGTGGGCGGAGGGAGAAAAGATTATTTGGGGTGCTAAGTAAAACTTAAATGATATTTCTACACACACGCACACACCGGGGGGGGGGGGAGAGAGAGAGAGAGAGAGAGAGTGTGTGTGTGTGTGTGTGTGTGTGTGTGTGTGTGTGTGTGTGTGTGTCAGACCCACGCCCCCCCGCGGGGAGGGAGGGAGTGGGGCAGGGGTGAATGGCTCAGGGGCAGGTCGTGGGAGAGTCGGTGGCTCGTCCCGGGGCATGGGGGTCTCTGAGCACTGTGCACCCCAATCAGTGTGCAGGACAGAGGCGGGCTCTGTGATGCCATGTGCCTCCTGCGCACTGGCTGCACTGAGACCCCCCCGCCAGCCCCGGGACGGGAGGTGCATGGGGTCACTCAGCTGCCTGGGCAGAGGCAGCTGGGCATAGAGCCCAGCTCGTAGTGACAACCCACCTCCACCCCATGCACAGATTGGGGGGGGCACATGCCCCTCATGCCTGCCCTGGGGGTGCGCACAGTGGTTGGAGCCCCCTACACCCCTGGACGAGCCACCAGGGCTCTGACCCTCCCACCTGGGGCCCTGTTGACCCCAGTCCCTGCCCCACATCCTCCCTCAACACAGGGGTCTCGATCTGCCCCCCACGACCCTTCCCTCCCTGCTACATACTTACCTATTGGGCGCTGCTCCACACACAGCAGGGCTGGGCTGAGTTCCTGGCTGCTCGGCTGTCTGCGCGCACCCCTCTCTCCCTTGCTGCAGCTGGCTGGAGCCCCCACCCAGGTGGTCCTCTGCGCTGCCACAACTGCCCCACATTGGGGGGGGGGAGGGGGCTAAGCCCTGTTAGCCCCAGCCTTCTGCCACCTATGCCGGGGAGTGCATGCAGCAGTGGCAGCCACCCCTTCCCCTGTCCTCATGCCCCCCTAAATGAGCTGCTCACGGCACTGTCTTTGCTTGGGCACCACGGGCAGTTGCCCTGCTTGCCACCCCTTGCTATGGCACTGGGTGACACTGAGGACGTGTTTGGTTGTAGCCATGTTGGTCTAAGGACGTAGGCAGGCCAGGTTCTTCTAGTAGAGGTGAGATCTTGTATTAGACCAACTGAGTAGCTGGAAAAAAGTTCTTGGCAAGCTTTGGGGTGCAGTCACCCTTTGTCAGGCACAGGGAGTCTCAGCTGTTCTGGGACTCCCAGGAACGAGAGAAGCTAAAACTATAACAGGATGTCAGTGAGAATGGGAACTGGTAGAAAATATGAAAACAAGAGGTAGACCCCCCCCCCCCGGCCGAGTGGGGCTGAAGGGGAGCCAAAGGTAATAAGTAAGGTACCTTAGCAGTTTTCCAAGGGAGAAGAATCTGGTCATGAAAAAATAAATAACTGAAAACTAAGACGACGAAGAGCAGAAAAAAAGAAGAGAAGAAAAAAAGAACGGAGAAGTGTAAGACTGAGAATATTTACGACCCTCAGACCCTTCTTCAACAGATCTTGAACGGCGATAAAGCAGCTTCTCCCGCTGAACACGGGACAAGCACCACTTCGACCCAAACCCGACCAACTCAGCTCTACTTTTAACTCACGAGGTGCAGTCTCCGTGGAGACTGTCAAAAATTGCCGTTGCCGACTATATTGCAAGTCGTCACGGCGGGGTATTGGGAAAAGTTTTCAACTAGCAATAATCGCGCCTCGGATTAACCTCATTGGCTACGATACTGCCACTGCGCAAAGCTACCGATCTCTGGGCCGGCCCGGGGGCCCCCAGAGCGCAAGCCTTGCAAGGTCACGGTGAGCGCCGAAGACACGAGCCCGGGCCCGACTGGGGGGGCGCAGAGGATTGTGGGACGCCGCATGCTAATGAAGACAGCCCTGAACTTGCGCCGCGGTAGCTCCTCCCGGCGGCGGAGGAGGTGTCAGTGCGGGCTCCAGCGCCTGCTGCTTGCAACGTCCTTGCTGTGCGGCCGAGCGGGCGGAGCCAGCGAGCACGTGCTCCACACCCGATCCAGGAGCCGGCGCAGCTCGGTTCCCCGAGCCTGGAGAGCTGCTTAATTCCCCCAGCCGTTGGCAGCTGGATGAGGCTGAGGCAGAGCTGTCCCAGCCCCAGCGCCCAGGACATGGGACCTATTTTTTTTTCCTCTTTGTGTTTTTTTTTAGCTACAGGGATTGTCCTGGTACCTAATTTCCCAATGCCCTGTCCCAGTGGCTTGAACCACAGCTGTTGTGGGCAATTTTTGGCAGCCTCTGTGGAGGCTTTCATTTTTCTGAGTTTGAAAAGCAAAGGAATGAGTAATGAGCACCCTATTATTCTAGCTGGCTCTGGGCTGGTGATACAGAGGGATCTATATAGTCTCTTCTATAAGAACACAGCTGACTCTTGTGCTTACTCCTGGGGCTTAAGGTGTAGCCCATCTCTACTTTACCATCCTTTCTATTGTCAATTTTTCCAGGCCTGCCTATCCACGTTTCATACATTTGCTTCCTTCTTAGCCACAGAATACGCTCTCTCTCATTCACCTAATAAAGCTGCTTTGTTTTCCTTTAAATTTCTTTTCAGTATCCGTGTGCTGTTTTTTGTGTCCATGTTTACAGGAGGATAGGCAGCCCCAAGCCCAGAGGCTTTGGAGTTCAGATGTCCCTGGGCCTCACTTGCGCTAAACCAAAAGACCAAAGGAGCAAGCTAGGGGAAAACCCCCCATCTCCATAAAAATAAAGCAGGTAGCTGAGACTCTCCAATTAGGAGGCTATAGTAGACTCTGGTTGCGGGGCCTGCCCACAGTCCAAGGGACAGGTCTCCATTCCTTACTACACAACACCATTGAAAGTGATCTTGGCTCGGTGATCATAGTATCTACCCTGCCAGAACAGGGGTTGCACCTGCTGTGAGCCAAAAGGCCAACCACCAAAGGGATTAGGGTATTTCCCCTGCTGTTCTTCTACTTTTCAATGACAGGAAAGACATCAGTCTCAGCAGAGGCCATCAAAAATTGCCCATGATAGCTGTATCTCAAATTTTCAGGGCAGGACATTGGGAAAGGTTTTCAACTAGCAATAATTGTGCCTCAGTTTAACATTTTTTTTTTTTAAGGAAAATTTTCCATGTCCCAGGTCTAATTAGCCAGATCAGATCCAAATCCACTTGAATGATCCGAGAACCATAGGTGGCCCTGCTCCACCCCAGCCTGGGATTTCAGATACTTCCAAATCTTTTGGCACGCATCCTACGTGCAGGCCCAAGCCTGAAGGCTTGGGGTTCAAAGGCCCCCGAGTTTCACTTCCCCTCATCTGTATGGCTGCAAGACCAAGCTAGAGAGAAGTCTCCCATTTCCATAAAGTTGGCGTATAGCCAAGATCCTCCCACTGGAAGCTGGTTAGTGGGAAGCTAACTATGAGGCTCTTATAGGGAGTCGTGTCCACAAGCAGACACAGGTACAACCCTCCAGTACACAGGGCCATTTCAGTTGCATCACCTTGGTCAAGGTATTTCCCTTGCCACCATCGTGGTCATGGTATTTCCCCTGCTTGTCGTGCCCTTGTGTAATTGAAAGCATGTCACCAGTTACCATCAGCATCCTCCTACGTGCAAATGGCAATCTCATGAATCAGCAGGCATGAGACCACATCAGAACACCTAGGGAGGCACCAAAAGAAACATCTTGCCTAAAACTCAAGCAGACCCACAGAAACAACAGAAAAGAGCTTCAGCAAAACTATAGACTAGAAACCATAGCAAAGAAAACCAGTAAAAACTTCACTGCAACCCAGCACTATGTACAAGCACACCCAGCTACTTAACCAACTTCACTGCTTTTTAAACTCAGGAAAGACACCAGCCTCTACAGAGGCCACCAAAAATTGCCCACCACAGCTATATTGCAAGTTGTTAGGGCAGGGTATTGGGAAAAGTTTTCAACTAGCAATGATCACGCCTCAGTTCAACCTCACAGGCTATGATACTGCCACTGCGCAAAGATAATGATACTAAGTCATGTGACCCAGTGCAGTTTCGGGGCACTCCTTCCCAGGACACAGCGAGCCCTGCCTCAAACCCACTCTGTACCAACTGGCTTTTCTACCAGGCCCCTCACCCTGCTGTCGTGTTCTGCTGGGGGAAAAGCCACCCCACAACCAGCTGGTCAGAAACTGTTGGGCCAGTGGTTGCTCCTGGTGCATTATGGATCACATTTTTCTAAGTAGACCAGGGGCAGGCAATTATTTCAGGTGCAGTGTTGCTTAATGAGGTTTGGCAAAATGTCAAGAGCTGCAAGGGTAGCCTCACCCCTTGACAGGTTGCCATTTTGGGGACCAGAAGTCCTGCCCGCTAACCCCAGACCTTTGCCACTGAAAGTCCCTCCCCTTGCCCCAGAAGTACTCCTTTTGGGAAGGAGACCCCTCCTTCCCAAAGGAGGGGTCTCCTTCCTTGCCATCTTGGAACCAAAAAACCCACAAATTATATAACTGCTCCTATCCATGGAAATCTTTAGTATAAGGTGAAAGATTTATGCGACTTGAAGAGAAACCAGAGACTTGAAGAGAAACCAACCAACTAAAAGTCAAACATTGACAACAGCATATTTTAATTTTATTTAAAATATATATATTTGTCCTGATTTAGGTGTTTTTTGTTATGTATACGATTGTGCAATTCTTAAAATGAAGTCATAGGCCAATAAAAGTCCATAAGAATCAATGGACCAGAAGGTACCCAATAAGATCATCAAGTCTGGTTCCCTGCCATAGGCAGGGGGTTAATGAGTTCAAAATAGCTCAAGGAGGTGCTTATTCAGCCTCCTCTTGAACACCTCCAAGGATGGTGACCACACCATCTCTGCTGGGAGTGTGTTCCAGGTTCTAGTTACCCTTACGGAGAAGATGTTCTTCCTTATGTCCAGCCTGAATCTTCTCTCTATTAGTTTGTGACTACTGGTCCTCGTCCTCCCAAGGGGTGCCTTTCTGAAGAGTTGCTCCCCCAGATCTTGGTGTTCCCCCCGACATACTTGTAGGTCTCCTCTTACCCAGACTGAACAATCTCAGCTGCCAGAGTCTCTCCTCATAGGAACTATCCTCCAGGCCTCTAATTATGTTGGTGGCTCTGTACCCTCTTGAGTTTATCTGCATCCTTCTTGAATTGCGGTGCCCAAAACTAGGCACAATACTCCAGTTGCGGCCTCACCAATGCTGAGTAGAGAGGGATCTGTTGGTGACACATTGGCTGATGCATGCCAGAGCTCTATTGCCTTGCTGGTGACTTCCTCACACTGTTGGCTCAAATTCATCTTCTGGTTAATTGAGACTCCCAAGTCCCATTCAGATGCTGTGCAAACCAGTGGGATACCACCTATCCTAAAACTGTGGTGAAGGTTCTTCCTACCCAGATGAAGGACCCGGCACTTTTCCCTGTTGAACTTCATCTGATTCCGATCAGCCCATAGAACCAACTGTGGGCTGTCCCTCTGTATTCAGAAGGGGTCCCACAGTGGAGGTCGATTTTTTTCTAACGCCCCCCCTTCCCCCGCCCAGTGTACCTGTAGAAGGATGTTTTGTTCTTTATTTTGGATGCCAGCTTGATCTCCATGCCTGCCTTGGCTTTCCATATCTCATACCTGCGCACTCTGGTTATATAAGTGAACTCTTCTCTTGTTGCTGAACCTCTTACAAGTCTTACTCTTGTATCTTGTGGGGAGGTGTGGACTGGTGTCGGGGGCAAGGGTGGGTGGGTGTGGAGTTTGTGGGGGACTGTAGGTGTGTGTGTGTGGATGAGTCTTTATATGGGTGTGGGGTGTGTGGATGTGGGTGGGTATGGAGGGTTTGTTGGGGGCTGTTTGTGGGGATGTGTAGGTGTGTGTGTGAGTGGGTATGGCGTTTGTGGGGGCTATGGGATGTATGGAAGGTGTGAGGGGGGTATGAGGGTGTGGGTGCATGTGTGTATGTGGTGGGGTGTGTGAGTGTACCAGTGCATGGGTCTCCCCTCAGAGGCACACGGGTATGTGCGGGGGGGAGGGTGTGTGTGGTGTTTGTGGTGTGTGTGGGGCAGGGTGTGGTTGTGGGGTTTGCAAGTATGTGGGTTGTGCATGGGAGCCCCCAGTACACACACCCCTGAGCCGTTCAGCCCCTGCCCTGCAACAGCCCAGAGCCTGCGTGCCCTGTGGCACTTTCCTGCCACCTCCAGCAGCACACAGATCAGCTGGAACCTACGCATAGCCTTGATCTGGCCCTCTCTATGCTGCCCAGCTGTTGCACATCCTTCCACCCCCTAGGCACACAATGGGGCTGGGATGGCTCCACAGCGGGACTGGCTTTCTAGGCAGGCCAGGTGGTGGAGGCTCCTCCTGGCCACTGCCACTGGCCTCAGCCCCACGGTACCAGTGGGGACCCGTGCACAACTCTGACCCTGCACCTGCTTCAGGTTCACCCATCCAGGCTCAGCAGTTGGAGCTCAAGACAGAAGCTGTTGCTCAGCATGAGGTAAAAGCAGCCCCTCCTACTCCCACTACCGGCACTTCCTGGTGTAGCCTCCTGGAACCTGCAGTGTGCCGGGCTGCCCTGTGTCTGCTCTGCACTGCCACTGCTGTCCCGCCAGGCAGCCCAGTGTAGCAAAACCACCAGTTTTCCTTTTTTTTCTTTTAAAATGCATTCCCCCCCTTCCCCAACCATTTCTGACTTTCTCTCCCTCTCTATTCCCAATAGATAAGTACAAACGAGCTAAGACATTGGATAAGCTTCAGTATTTTATTTTGGTAGCAAGTTATATTTGGGTTTTTTCTCCTTCTTTACATTATATAATTATTATGTTTATATTGATGTTTACTGTTTCATATTACTGTTTTACTGGTACTATATGATTTACGCCTACATATGTAAGTTAGCATAAGTCATGTGAAGTTTCCATTTTGTTTGTCAAGTCTCCATCTTGTTTCCCATGCCCTGTTGTGTAACCTATGACTCATACCTACCCCTCCTATGTAAATTGGTTCCTGAATGAATAGGGATGAATGAGGGTGCTTGAGGGACAATGGCAGTAGGTCTAAAAATAGCTCTCTCTGAATGACCGAACCATCGACACCAATACCTGGACCAACGACCCAGCCATTGGAACCACCCTCAGCATTCAAAGATACAAAAGATGAGGCAACCTACCATTGTGTCAAGGCTGCACATGCTCCGTAAGAACACCTGGAGCTCTCTGGAACAGGGCTGACACTGCCTGGACAGGCCCTCCCATAGGACAGGGGTAGGCAACATTTTTTGGCCTGAGTGCCGAAAAACACCACAATGCCTACCTTGGAAGGTGCCAAAGTGCCGGCATGGCAGAAAAACAAAATGAGGGCAAGGGGTACATGGCAGGATGCCCTGCTATGTGCCCCTTGCCCCCACCCAAAGCCCCTCCCCCCCAGCCCTACTGCCCCTTGCCCTCCACCCAAAGTCCCTGTCCCCCAGCCCTACTGCCCCTTGCCCCCCACCCAAAGCCCCTGCCCCCACAGCCTGGGCTCTGTGGCTGGCAGGCGTTCTGGGAGCAGGCGGTGGGGAAGGGGCCTGAGGCAGTGCAACCCTGTTTTCTCCCCCGCTCCCGGCACCCAACGCAGCTGTTTGTAGCCAGCCCGGGCTCTGAGAAGCTGCAGCAAGCAGCGGGCAGAGTACAAACAGCTGCGCCGGGCTCATCACCTCCGTGCCGGGAGCAGGGGAGAAACTGGAGCTGCGCTGCCTCAGGCCCCTCCCCCACAACCCGCTCCAAGGCACGCCTGCATGCGCCGGTGCTGAGCTGGTGCCAGAGCCCTCACAGCTGTTTGGAGCCTCATGGCTGCAGCCAGCCCCGGCTCTGGGGAGCTGCTGCCAGCCAGGATCCTGGCCAGCTCCCAGCAGGCAGCTGGGATGCTGCAAGCCCTGCTGGGACCAGTCCGGACTTCATCGCTGGCAGCAGCTACCCAGAGCCGGGGCTGTCCGCGGTGTGCCAAGCAAAATGGCCTTGCGTGCCACGTTTGGCACGCATGCCAGGGGTTGCCGACCCCTGCCATTGGAGATCAGAGGTAGTTTGCCTCATAAAAAGGGGTAGTGAAAACTGACTCCTTGGGACGCCCTCTCCATCTGGACCAGCACCATGCCACACCACCTATCCACCTAGAGGCCCTGCTGGCGACCCCTTTCTGAACAACACCTACTGGACAAAGACCCCTTTCCAGCCTGGATAGGTAGCTATCACCCCCACTCTCTCTTCAACCAAGGACTTGGACTCTGTTTCTCTTCCCTACCTGGACTCCAACCCTTCCACTGAGTCTCTTTCTCCTTCTGCCATTGTGAGTGCTTGTGTGTGTGGGGGGGAACCAATAACTTCATGGGGCTATTTAATAAACTTGTTATTTTGTGTTGTCTGTTTAATAAACCCGTTATTTTGAAACCCTGATTTGGGTTTCTGTCTGTTTCCTGACTGTTTCCTCCTTGCCACCACTGTGCCCCCAATCTCTCAGCTGTCAGCCTCAGTTTCCAGCCCCAAGCTCCCAGGTTTCTGCCTCTCTCTCTTTCCTGGCTGTCTCCTCCTTGCCACCGGGCTTTCTCCCTTGCACCAGTGACCTTGAGTAAGCCTGGGACCACTTGATCTAGAATAAACCCCAGTTCCTCAGCCAGCTTTTCTCTAGTTCACTGGTTCTAATCCTGGTTCTGGCAACTTTCACTGCCTACACTTTAACTCTCTCTCACCTTAATTGTATCCCAGGTACCCCAAGCACACACATACATACTGTACCATTCAAGTGAGGAACCTACCTGTGTGTATGTGTAGGTGGGTTGTATGCATGTGAACTGGTGAGTGTGTGTGTGTGTATATATGTCATTGTGTGCATGATATACAAATTAGTGATATGTGTATTGAGTGTGCGGGTATGGACAATTGATTTGTGTCTAACTTTGGGGGTGTATAGTGTATGTGCTTGAATTGGTGATAGGTATGCATGTGCCTAGGCTTGTTTGGATGTGTATGTGCCTGAGTTGGTAGTGTGTGTGTGTGTGTGTATACACCTAATTGATTTGTGTGTTTGTATATGTGCAATTGTACACCACGCCCTCCTGTCTAACAGCGCAATATTGAGATCCTGAGCATTGGCCTGACCCCACAGGGCAACACCAGAGGCAGCAGTGATGCAGCGTAGATGCAGAGCAGCCCAGTGTGGCATGGATGCTGAGAGACTGCACCAGGAACCACTGGCACTGGTGAGGGGAAGAGGCCACTTTCACCCCACGCTGAGCAGCAGCTTCTGTCCTGCACCGCTGCTGCTAAGCCTGGACGGGCAAGCCCGGAGCAGGTGCAGTATCAGCCTTTCAGTGAAGCCACACAAGAAAGTGTGGAGACCGCTCAGATTGATAACGTGCCACTTTGGGTCCATGTGCTGCCGGCTGGGCAGGCACTCAATATGCAGCTTCCCTCAACACCTCCCCACTCCCTTAGCCCCCAGCCAGCTTCCCACAGGAGTGCCTGCCCGGCCAGAAGCGCATGCACCTGGAGCAGCACATTATTGGCCCTTCAGAGAAGCTGCATAG